TTAAATAGATGCTTATTACCAAAGTCCCCTATGAGAGCAGTGAAACCAGAAGGTCTGGGGCAGTCACAGGTTGAGTCCAAGTCCTGTTAAAATCAGTAGCATCTTGCCCTCCGGAGGATGCCAGTTTGGCAGTCTGCTTTCAGCCTGCTGCTGGGCTTTTCACCACGTTCCACTGCTTGTACTCCTGTTATTCAGTTCCTTAGTCACCCCTTCCATTCCATTATTAATCCCTCTCTCTTCCAGTAGTTTGCTATGTAGTGCCTTGACAAATGCTGTTCTGAAGTTTGGAGAGAATAGGATATTAGAGCAGGTCTGGAAAAGTGCTATCCTAGAAGAGAGGAGTGGCATATATCCTGCTGCCTGTAAATGCAGATGACATTGCAAAGCATTTTCCAAGGTGTCTGGGGATTACCAAGGTTAGGATGAACAGATACTCTGGCAGGCTGAATGACCCATACAGGCCATATAAATGCAAGGTGCTCATATTTAGGGTAATGGAGGCTGGATTTCTGTGGAAAGAGAAGACAGAGCAAAAAACTAAAGTCGTAATTAGATCTCCATGATACCAGCCACTGCTGGTTTTGGTTACCTGGTTAATGGCAGCTGAGGGGGTCTTCTTTTGTAGGTGGTTAATTGCCAACTATGCACTCTTGAGTGTGGGCTGTAGTGTTTGTTGCTGCAGTTGCACATATTAATTTTCAGCTTGGAAAATAGCCACACTGGTCTGCAATTTGCTCATCTTCATCTTTCTCCTTTTTGACATAGCAACAATGTTCCCAGGTTAACTGCTGGCTTTTGAGGGTAGAAAAGTGTGAATTTCCTTGATCCTTTTATGGGAGTGATATTCCACTGTCAATCAATTATCCTTTCCCTGCATTTCCTACATTGGCTTCAGATGCATGCAATAAATTCTAACAGATTTACAGGTATTAAACCAAGTCATTTAGTAATGAAAATGTTTGCAAAAGTAGGATACAGAGGTCTGATTCCATCCTTTCTTGCTGCAAGAGGCAGTTCAGGCTACCTACAGGCGTCCATGAATGCCTTCTGTCTTGATCATGCCCCAGATTTTGACCTTTAATTTGTCATGTAGGTCTCCAGCAAAGGTCCAATACTACACTGGAAGGTGGAGAAGATAACTGGCTTTTTTCCCTGGCGCTGACGATAATGTTTGCTGTAGCTTCAGATGTGACAAGATATGGCAGTGCCTTGAGTTCTCCTATACCTACCACTTCTGGATATTTTAAGGATCATTTGTAAGAGCACTTGACTGCAAAACTGTGCTACTAGCAGGGTTGCCAGCATGGCAACATGGGTGTGTCAGAAATGCCAAATATCAACAAGAAAATAAGTAAAAAAACCCAACCCCCTATTTTTATTCACAGTTGCTTTATAAACTTTGTGACAAATAAAAATCAATCCAAAACACCACATCTAAAATATGAAGAGACTCCAAACCCACCAGGGTGACGTCTTCCCCACTCAGTTGGTTTTATGGGAAAGAGCCTGCACCAGATATAACAACTGACCTCTCTTGACCTGGATAG